CTCTGAAATGCTGTGAAGACTCTGTTGTCGGCCTCCTGGAGCCGTTGCTGTGGTTGCTGCAACCGGCCGCTCCTGCATTGCCACCAGCGGGGCTGCTGCTGTTGTTGCTGCTGCATTGAGCCAGACTGTCGTGATGCTCAAACGAAGAAGGGACCCTTGCGGGAAAAACCTGCGAGGCCGACTGGTGGGGATAATATAATCCTCGCTGTAAACACCCCGGAGGCCTACGCCCGGCAGCAGCAGCAGCAGCTGCTGCTGCTGCTGCTTCCGCTGTTGCTGGGTCCGCTTGCGCGGGTGCTCTGTGGGGAGACCGACTGCGCGTGGGATTGCTGCTGTAATATCTGTTTTGGGGCTGACTGCAAGACCACTGCGGGAAGCCGTGGCGGTCTGAGTTGTCGCTGGACGCCATGGTGCTACTGGTGCACTGCTGGGGCCCCCCCAGCTGGTAGCCATAGAGGAGTTTGTCTTGATGAGGGAAACTGTAGTGGCTGTGACAACTGGGGAGAGCCTGGGAAGCGCTGCAGTATCTTGGTAGGGAGTCGCCGTCGTAGAGGCTGCTGCTGTTGACCCCATGCCAACGCTGCTGGGGTGGAGGCCAGTAACCTGGGGAATTTGTCGGATCCTGAGACGATTAAGCGTTTATTTTCATTAATTAAGCTTTAGAAAACATATTTTTAAAAGAATTACCAGGGAATTCATCGCGACGTCCCCGCTTTCCCGGCCTTCTCGTGGAGGGGAAATCTCTCGCATGGCGAGATCAGACCGCTGAGAAAACGCCATTTGCAGTTTTAAATCGTTCAAGTTCTTCGGCATCATTGTGAAAGAATAAAATAAAGAAAAGCCACATTAAATTAAGTCTATAAAGGTGGAGTTTCGCGAATGTTTCATACAGAAGAGTCTTTTTCGTGCAACTTGAATCTGCGCCGTTCATCGTTAACCGAGGCTGCGCATACACCTCAGAAGATTATCGAGGCCTGATCACCCGACTCGGAGTTGAAAAAATATTCTTTTTATCTCTATTTTGTATCTTTCAATGTTTTCCCACCTCTTTTCTGTTGTAGGCTTGTCGAAATTTGACTTGAATATCTGCATAGGCCGAGAACGCGAGCCGTTCCGTGTCTTTCTTTGATGGTTTCCTGCGCTGAGTTGGCCGCTTGTTCATCTTTTTTTGCAGATACAGATCACCGAACGTGTTGGTGAAACTTTAAAAATCTATATTCTGCTAGTTCTGCTTCAAAGTTACTCGATTTCCACCCACATCGTCAGTAGGCCATCGAGGCGGAGCTGCACGCCAACCAGTGCCCTCTGTATAACCGCACGAACATGGCAGAAATCAAAACAATATATCGTTAAATTTTGCTGAAAATAAAATTTTTTATAGTTAAAAATGACTTTCATCCCGAGAAAGTGACGAATTTCACTTATAATGCTGAGATCGCTTTGAGGCTCCACTAGCTGCCAGCGAGAGGCCAGCAGGANTGACGAATTTCACTTATAATGCTGAGATCGCTTTGAGGCTCCACTAGCTGCCAGCGAGAGGCCAGCAGGACTGGTGTTCAGAACAGCCCCATAAGACTAACCGACATTTAAAAGTTTATTTTATGAATTAAACACATTTTATCTTAATTATTAATAATTATTTAAATGTTTATGTTTCTAGTTTTCGCTGTTTACTAACGTTTCATGGACGAGGGTCACCTCCCATGGGGCGGCGTTCCGCGCCTCGCGGGGTTTCCTCTTTCGGCTGGTATACAGCAGCCTTCTGCAGTATTTGTTTTTTTTAATATTTAATTAAAAATGACAACTTCAATAATTGAGTGGCTGGAGAGCCTGGATCTCTCGCAGCCCATCGTTTGTTTAGAAACAGACTTTGCCGATGGCTACCTGTTTGCTGAGGTCCTGCAGCGTCTATCTCTCCTGCCCCATCTCCACGGATTCCAGCGAGCCAGCAGCAGCAGCAGCAGCAGCAGCAGCGGCAGCAGCAGCAGCAAAAGCAGCAGAAACGGCAGCAATCTCGTCGGCTCTGTGACAGCAGAAGTGCAGAATTTCACGCTGCTGAAACCTGTATTGGAACGCATCGGCATTCGCTTCAGCGCCTCCATCATGCAAAATATAACGAGCTCAAAGTCAGGCGCAGCATCGAGCTTGCTCAAACAAATCCGAAAAGCAACGGAACACAAAACACCTTTTGCTGCTGCTGCTGCTGCTGCTGCTGCGGCTGCTGCTGCCGCGGGTGCTACTGCTGGTGCCGGTGTTGCTCACCGCCCTCTCAGCCCCCCACATCCCCCCAGGGGCCCCCAGACAGGGGCCCCCCAGCACGGGCAGCGGGGGCCCCCGACTCTGCCCCTGTCTCTGCCTTCCTCTCCATCTGCAGCAGCAGCCGGCCAGAGCAGGAACGCCAGCAGCAGCAGCAGACAGTTGCGCGGCGTCTCCGGAGCTGCTGCTGCTGCTGCTGCTGCTGCTTCTGCAGCACCCGCAGGAGCTGGGGATGCTCGCTCGTCGCAGCAGTCATCGAGCCGGGGGAAAGCAAAAGGCCGCAGTGCAGTGCTGGAGTGTATCGACAGCTTTGAGATGAATTTGCAGCGTCAAGGCATCGGCAGTCCAACATCTTCAGGTGATTCTTCTGGTGTGTCTGGCGGTGCTGCTGCTGCTGCTGCTGCTGCTGCTGCTGCTGCTGTTTCTGCTGCTGCATGCAGCGAGGACGTGGAGACAGTGCTGCAGCAGATGAAGGGGAAGCTCCCCTCGCAGCAGAGCCAACAGGAATTCAACAACCAAATGATAAACAGATTGCATGCGGCGCGTCAAGCACAAGAGGCAGCCTGCTACGAGCGATCGAGGAGAAGACAGTTGCTGCTGATGGAGCAGACCAGGCGCTGCAGGGAGGCGCTCAACAGCCGCGTTGCTGCTGCTGCTGCTGCAGCTGTTTCTCCTCCTCCTGCTGCAGCAGCACCACCATCAACAACAACAGCAGCAGCAGCAGCAGCAGCAGCAGGAGGCAGCAGACGTCCTGTAAGCAGCAGCAACGAGCTGCGAGCTGCTGTAGGGCGTGTACGAGCATACGAGGGAGTGGTTCGCTGCAACGTGGAGCTGAAGAAGGAGCTGCTGCAGCAGCAGGAGAGAAAGAGAGAGGAGATGTTGCTGCGTCACGAGCAGCTGCAGCAGCAAACCCGCAGTGTATTGACAGCAGCAACAGTTGAAGAACAAGCCAACATATGCAGAAACGTAAAGACTGTGCGCCGCACCCTCAAACGCTCCCGCCTCATCACCGAGTGCGAGCAGATGGCGCTGCAGCTCATCGACATTGTTCTTGCTGCTAGCAGCTACAAGCAGCAGTACAATACTCTCACTATACCCCCGAGGGTCTGGCGGGGGTGGCTGCTGCAGTTTGTTGCTGCTGACGATGCCCCCCAGAGCAGCAACAGCAGCAGCAGCAGCAGCAGCAGCAGCAGC